GTATTTATTTATACTGATGCATATATACTCAGGCTTTTAAAAAATAATATTCACAAGACATTTCAGAAAAGCTCCAGGAGATTTTCCTCCATAAAAAAACTTCTTGTAACAAAAATAAGACCCGACAGGTCAGAAACAAAAACCAGAGGGTTGGACCTGCAGAACGTAAAAACATCAATCTGATACAGGAAAGCCAAGAAGATTAATCTGATTTAATCTGATTAACATTGATGTGATCCAACATCTGAAGTGTGGTGCAGAAAAACTACATTAAATGATTCAAACTTCTCCTTCCCCAAAATATATAAAAATAAACCCATAAAAGCAGAAATTATTAGTTAGTGTTGAACTTCTGGTACAACGAGGCACTGATGAGGATCAAACTAAAATTATTCAAACCTCATGAAATATTTTTATTTATTTATTTATTTATTTTACTGCAGCAAACAGAAAACTTGAGACTGAAAGACTTCCAGGTTTAATTCAGAGGCACAAAAACTCAACTAATCTCCACGACTCTCCTCAGGTCCCAGAACCTGGATCAGAATTTAATTAAATGTAGTGTAAATTATAACAAAATAAAACCAATTATTACACCTTTAACATTTAAAATCCCAGCTGCAGCTTCCTGTTTAGAGAGGGAAGTTATCTCCTCTGTTAGTGTCTTTTTATTTAAAGCAAAGAAACTTTAGGAGTCAAATAAAGCAGTGAGCTCAGCAGAGTTTAGATTATTAGTGAACATAATGACTGATAAATACAACATGATTAGTTTGGTTACATTCAGCTTGGATTATTGTAGTGTAATATATGTATTTAGATTTAATATAAAATGAAGATTCAGGAAAGTGCATAAGGCAGATCTGACTGTAGTGATAAAGAGGAAAAAGTTTGTTTTGTACGTTGGATATTTGGAATGGAGCCCGCGGGGGGACATGAGGGGGATTTATTCTTCTGCATTCCCTCGTTAAAGCTGTTTATTACTGCTGAGCTGCAGGTTTATTAACAAATGAACATTCTGTTACGGAGGGGTGTAACGTGCAGATATTTTACACTCTATGCAGCCACGCAATGTCACCGCCATCCTGTTTCAGTAACCGGATATTTCAAAATAAAAGTCTGATTCAAAACAAATTTTTGCGTGGGATTGCAAAAAGATTGCAAGATAAGTCTAAAGTATTGCTTGAAACTCAAAGTTTTTTACAAGATAACGCAAAAGAAAACAATCCCCCCACAGTTTAAGTAATTTGGGATCAAATTTCTTCAATGTTCAGATTTTTATTCAGCAGTTTGTGGAGAATGAGACGCTTAAAGGAACGACCAATTTTCCACAAAACTGCCATTTTCAAAACATTTCTACACCCAATCTGAATGCAGGTAGAATTCTATTCAGTTTTTTTAATTTATATTTGACCTTTTTATTTTTTTCTGAACTGGCCTTATATTATATATTATATAAGCTGAACAGAAATGTGTTTAAAGAACTAATTTCATCCACCTTAAAGCTCCTAACTTGTACGCTTTGAGCCTAACTTGGTGTTTTCACGTTCAGGCGGTGGAATGAGCCTCAGGGGGAGTTTTCAGGGAGGAGAGAAGAGATTAAAGCAGGACTGATGTTTGAAGACTTGTCCCCTTCACTTGCACCGGCGCAGAGCTTCCTGCATGTGCTCCTGGACGTGCTCCATCTTCTCGGCCCACTCCTCGCTCAGGCTCTCTTCGTCGTCTCCGATGACGGCGGCGTAGCCCATGAGGGCGATGAGGCCGATGCAGAACAGGTAGGTGAGGCGCGTGCAGAGGCGCTCCATGACCCGCCGGTCCCCCTGCGAGTACTTCAGGTAGACCTCCAGGATGGGCCGACTGAAGAGCTTCCGTTTGCCCACCACGCCGTCGTACAGCGTGTGCAGGTTCTGGTCGCCCAAGTCATTGGAGTAGCTCTCCTCGAAGTCGTCCTTCTTGCGCTCGCGGTGCTCCGGCCGCGCCTCCACCATCTCCATGAACTTCTTGAACTGGTGCTTGAGGTTCTCCTCCACGTGGCAGTACTGCCCGTCCACCGTCTCCTTCTCGATCTGCACCAGCGCCAGGCGGTTCTGCAGCGACAGCTCGTCCAGGCCCCGGTGCACCGAGCCGAACTCGCGCTTCAGGGTGCGGATGTCCTCGTCGTCGATGTGGTGCAGGACCACCCGGATCAGGGAGCCCGCCACGCCGAAGATGGGGTTGACCACGGCGGCGGCCGAGGAGATGGTGGCCACGCACTGCAGCACCTTGACCACGCCCTGCTTCAGCTTGGCGCGGTCCTCGTTGATGTCCTCGTCCATCATGGTGGTGATAATCTACAGGAGAGAAGAAGAACAGGTTCATTCAGAGGATTTATCCACGAGTTCAACACTCGTTTCTTTATTGGACTGCTTCTCTTCTCAGTCTGTAGCTGTGTTTCCACTGCAAATGTGCTCAAAACTTTGTCGTTATTCTTTTAAAGTCGAAAAACAGTTTCACAACTGCAGTGTTTCCATTAAGTAAGAAATGTTATTAAAGTCACGTGAATACGTTTGTTCTCGTGATAAGTCATTACAAACATGGCGGCGATGGATGTAAACACATAGCATGTTGCTACCACGACACTAGCGCTCATCATCAGAGGAGACGTCGGCGTCTTTTATCGAGGCTTTCCAGAGACAAGTCCCTACTTGGGAGCGGCTACGTATGCTGTGTTTTTGGGAAATTGTAGTCGCTGAGTTTACTATTTTATACTACTTCTGTGATATTACTACTACTTCTACTTCCTGTTATCTTCTTCGTCTTTTTCGTCAGTAGAAACATCCGGTTGTTGATCACGTGACTCCTGTGATGTGAAAAAAGTGTTTCCATTGCAGTTTTTTGAAAAACACTAATTTCGATACGACTGAAAAAACACCTCATCCTAGCACCAAAACATTTTGTCGAAAAATGTATTTTTTTAATTGACGTGTTTCCATTGAGCAAATTTAATTTCGAAATTCTAATTTGCGCATTTTCATGGTCAATAGAAACACAGCTACAGAACCTGACTCAGAGACAACTTTACACGTCTGAGCTGGAACCACAGAACGTCTGACTGAGCTGCGTCTGAAAATCTGAACGGTTTTCCTCTGGAGTCCAGCCGGGGACTGTCCTGAGCCTGGTTCTGGTTCTGGTTCTGCTGGAGGTTTTCCTCTCCACCGTCACCAATGAGCTGCTCAGGATGGAGACTGTGATGAAGTGAAGATTCGACAGTCTGCTGCTTCTTTAGATTGTTTTTTGTGTTCAGTGACCTGAGGCGACAGTTGTTGTGACTTGGTGCTGTACAAACTGAATTTAAAACTAAATTTAAAAGTGTTTGCAACCAAACTAACAGGAAGTGCCAACAGGTTTCTTTTTTAAATTGTTTATTTTTATGTTCACTGTTTGCAGAACTAGATTCGTGGCTGATATTTTTTGTCCACCTCTGCCCACATCAGTTTTTAAATCAGTATTTGTTGTTAGACCTGGACATTTGCAACAGATCTTGAGTCAATAGAGCTCTGGAGACAACTTGACTGTGTGATTGGGTGATATTGGTTTAAAAAAAAATTCATGAACAATTGTGGTATTTAGCCGATAACTATTAATATAATGATTAATCCGCTGCAGTCTCTGGACGCCTGCATGTCCTTGTCACATGACTAATTTAAATCACTCTAGTGGGAAAGATTTGTTCTCTGTAAAAATCTGCTCCAAACTGTGTCAGAAGTACAAACTTCAGGCTAAAGATCAGTTTTTAAATTGTGTTGATAGACTAAGTAAAACCAGTTATGATAAATAAATTACAAAACTCTTTTTTTTCTGTTAAGCTGACAGCTGAGGATCCTCCTGAAAAGTCTGTTTCCTTCTCTTTTATTGAGAATAGAGCAAACCGTGTTGGTGCAGTACTCAGTTTATCCACAGGAGGGAGTTCTACAGTGTTTCAGCTCTGTTGTTGTTGTTGTTTTGTTGTTGAAGCTGATAGTTGTAACTTTATTCTGTCACTTTACTGCCAAATCATCAGGAAATCATCCTGAAAAACAGCAAATACAAACATATCTGATGCAACCTGTAAGAACCAGTCCTGATCAGAGAAACATGTTTTTACAGCAGCATCAGCTCTAAACTGATCAGTTCATCCTGATCTCCTACCTGCTCTAACAGCCTCAGATTGTTAATATTTAATGGCAGTTTGGATAAATTCAACACAAAGCAGTGAAATGTTGTGTAAAAACCATCTGCAGAGCAAACGATTTAGATCAAAATATGTGAAATTTCACATTAAAACTCCGAACTAAAACTGGATTCTAGTTCTGAGGAAGCTGATCTCATATTTCCATCCTTCTGTGGAGCATTTGAACGCTGAGAAGCAGGAAGTGAGCAGGTTTTGTGCTGCAGTCAGCAGTGAAGGAGTTAACAGCCTCCATGTTCCTGGATGACACAGCAGCTGTGAGCAGGGAGCCTTTTCAGCACCAGGCTGAGTCCTGTGAGTTCTTATGGAGCGGGCCGATAGCTCCTGTGCAGCAGCAGCTGAGTGACAGGCGGGCGACGCTTTCAGAGGCAGGCTGGTGGGCGGGACCAGGACCAGGACCAGGAAACTGGAGTCTTTTTTACAGCAAATCCAGCCTGACGGGCTGAGCTGTGCAGCTGCAGCTGCTGATCCTTTTAAAAGTTAAAGAGTTTAAAGTTCAAACTGTGGATCCTGCAGGACCCAAACAGCTCAGGACCACAGGTCTGAGTGGAACAGGAACTGTTTCTGACCAGACCCTCCTCTCCACCAGACGAGAGCAGTAACTGAAACCTTCAGCTTTCAGCACCACTGCTGTGGACTGACTCAACTTAACCCTTTAGCTTCAGGAAAACTTTCAATACTTTGATTTAAACAGATTTTAAAAGCAAACTTTTGAGGACATATTTGACTTTTTTCAATTCTTGTTAAAGACGCTTTCAGAAAATTGTATAAAGATAAAAATAAATCCTAAAATGTCCTATTTGTGTGATTTAGACAATAAGCTTGTTTTAAAATGGTGATGTTTAGGGGGGTTTCTCCTCCCAGATCAATTAATTAAAAAAAGGAAAATACTGCTTGATTGTTGCTTCTTGAAAACAGATGATATTTGTGCATTTTTTCCTCTTTACTGTGTTTTATTATTTTTGCAGAGGCTGATCAGTTGGAGAGGCTCCTTCCTCAACATAATCCAGCAGCCTTCAGCTACAGATCAGGTAATGAAAGGGTTAAACACCTGAAACAAGCCTCACTCAAACAAAACATCTTGTTTCCATTTGTAACATCATTAGAAATTTAATCATCTTAAATAAGGAAATTTTATATAAACAGTCCATTAAAAACTACTGTTTATATCTGGGAGTGTAATTTAACCCTTTGTGTACATTTTTTCTCCTTAAATGTGTTTAAAATATTTAAAACATGCAAAACTGATTATTTAATTATTATTTTTATCGTTTAAGTAAACAATTATTAGTAGCTTTAAAAGCATAAGCGGGTAAATTATCCTAAATATGTTAATTAGGGGTGTTAATTGGATCAATTAAAGCCCCTGAGTATTTTTTTAAATAAATGAACCAATGACAGCTCTGCTGCACACACAGGTAGCAGGAGGCAGACAGCAGCAACATGCAGCTCAGGAGTTTTATATTATTGGATATTTAAGCAGAATATTATAAAATCTGTGTTAATTGGTTAAAACTCATTAAGGTGTGTTGGTGACAGCAGGCAGCTCGGACCAGGAAGTGCCAGGTGATCCAACAGAGGCCATCTTGAATGTTTTCAATAATCACAGCAATGCCAGGCTAACTCTAAATGAACACAGGGTTTTAATCAAAGAGTCACCAAAACTTCCAGATCTGATTTCAGTGCCTGATTTGAAGGTTTTTATGTTTTTTTCTGTGTTTTCTTCTCTTCAGAGCTTCTCCTGTCTGCTTATTGAAGCTTCTGTAAAGAAGTTCCACCCAGAGGCTCATATTCTCCATCAATATCTGAAACAATGAGTTTAAACAACGAGTTTAAACTGAACCAACATGATCCAGAGTGTGAGTCTAACCAGCAGCACATCCCCTCTGCCCTGCTCTCAGCTCAGCTCAGGCCCAGGAAGCCTCCTTCCTGCTCAGCAATGGCTCCCCCTATCCACCTCTCCATTATTTCCTTGTTAGTGCACAGCCCAGCCTCTGGGCCTCCCCACCAATAACCACCACAAATACAACCAAATACACCAGAAAACTTCACTTTTCCTCTCTAAATGTTGGCTACAGAGTCTGTCTTTGCCTCCCAGCCAACATTATGTGCCACAGGCTCCAACACATCAGAGGATTTCTTACCTTTTCTCAGTGGCTCTGCCTACAGCTCACTATGTGAAGTCCCAGGCTCAACACCCTCCTTCTTCTTCCCAGAAATCCCTGCAAAAAGGACACTTCCATGTATGTTGAATATGTAGGGGTGATCAAATTGGACTAAATATTATTTAAACGACCCAAATGGTTCCCAGAATCTAAAAAAATCGAATTGGAACCTAAGTAGACATGAGCTCTAATATTAAATTGAAAAAATATATTTTAAATGATTTAAATAGCAAGACCCCCTCCTCTCTAACACGGTGTCCTACCCCCCTAAAAGTTCCACTTCTAGTGCTCCATCCAGCAGTCTGACAGCTGCTCAGAGGAGTGTCTATGAGCCGGAGCGCAGCTGAGTTCGCAGAGACTTTCTGCTGCGTTCTGTGCGTTTCCAAACCCCGGAGTGCCTCTGACAGCCTGCAGACACCAACCTGACGGGATGCTTTGGACAAAACAAACTCTTTTCTTCAGGAAAAAACAGAAAAATGCGCAAAAGAATATTTCCATGAGAGAAAAACCCAACGATGCCAATTAGAACACAACGAATAACGCAGAGCTCTCCAAAAGTGCACCGGTGTGTCCAAAGGCATGGAGGGCTCTCCAAAGGCTCCAGGAAGGAAACAGAAGGAACTTTATGCAAATTTAAAAGGTAATAATAATGAATTTAGTTCAAACTTACCACTTATATTGAAAATTCTGACAATAAACTCAGATAATATCAAAATTTTGATCCACAGCAGAGTTAAAAGGAGTGAAATGTTCCAAATGGCGCAGCGGCTCTTCTGGATGTTTCATTTGTTATTTTAGGCTTTTAAATATTTTTTTAAATAAAATGTATGTATATTTGTGTCAGAAGTACTGTATTATAAATAAATAAAATAAAATGACAGCCTTCCTGAGCAGCAGCAAAAGGATAAAAGCCTTCAGCTAAACGCGCAGCTTCAGTGCGCCAGACCTGACAGGATCAGGCTGCTCCTCAGGCCGGGCCGGGAGACAAAAACAAACTCAGATCTGTGACACCCGCTGACATCAGTCCACGAGCCTTCAGACTGGACTGAACCAGAACCAAACAGCCCTCAGGTGGAGCTCCAGAACCGACGGTTAAAACCGTTTCCTCAAAATAAACTGATGCAAATGATGCAGGAAGAGGAGCTGCAGCTTCCTGACGCTCAGCTCCATTATTCCTCCCTGCGGGTCCAGACCTGAGCCTGCAGCGGGTCCGGACCCGAGCCTGCAGCTGGTCCAGACCCGAGCCTGCAGCTGGTCCAGACCTGAGCCTGCAGCGGGTCACAGAGCCCTCAGCCCCCACTCTCTGGAACAGAAGCTCGGGGTGCAGCAGGAACAGAAGCGCCGCTGTTCTGTGACATGTGGAAGAAAAGGAGCTCAGTTGTTGATGACAAAGACTCTCTTCTCTCTGCAGCAGCCCTGAGAGGCTCATTTCTTATTGATGGTGCAAACAGGCGCACGTGCAGCCTTTATTTAGCGGCAGCTGAGCCTCGCGCGCCTGTTCTGATGGTGCGCGCCCGCAGCAGCAGCTCGTGTTTCAGCAGCAGCTGCTGGTCAGAGCAGGACTGAAACACCCACATCTTTATTACACTCTGTAAGCAGAAATATTTATTTTATTTTACATTTTGACTTTATGCAATAAAGGTTTATATTTATTCATCTAAATGTTGTGAATTATATTTAAATAAAATATTTATCAAAAATCATGTGTTGTCTTTCTTATGCATTCAGTTCATTTATTTTGAATCTTTACAAAACCTTTTATAAACTGATGCTAGAACAAAAAATAGTTTGCATTTAAATCGTGTTTTTATTATTTATAATGTGCAAAAAACGAATAGATACAAGACATAAAAAGATTTATTTCAGTGTAAATTCAGCAGATTTCTATGATCAAACAGTAAAACAGGATGAATGTGGTTGTAGTAGCAGGTGCTGGCCTGTAGGGGCGCTGCTGAGAACTTTTAATGGAAGAGCTTAAAGAAACTACAGAATCCGAGTCAGGGGGTCTAAAAAGTGTCACAGTCAGAAAAACAGTTTCAGCTCAAAGCACCGGGTCAACTGATGACATCAGAGACGAGTTCAACGTCCTCCAACCAGAATCAGAACAAACAGAGGAACAAATAAACAATAAGAGCACACGTCAGATTAGACCTTACATAAACATTAAAATATATTTTATTTAAGTTTCCCAACTCCAATAATCTGACTGGATTCATGTTTTTATATCTTTAATTTTATTTCTGAAAAATAAATATATTTGTGCGATGACAGAACCAGATTATAACCTGCTCTTTGTCTTTTTTAGGTTTTATTAGAAACCCTTCAATCCAGATTTTATTTTTTATTTTTTGCAGTAGTTTGTAAGATGTTTTGAAGTCACCATTTTGTGTTTGTTTTTTCAGGAATCAGTCAGAGCAGCAGGTGCACAGTTTGACATCAAACAGCCACAGGTTCTTCAGGTTTTTCCACCTGCTGGGTTCAGAAACGTGTCCACGCTGCACTTAACCTCCGATTTTATTTCAATTTGTAGGAAAAAAAAAAAAAAACAAACACAAAGAACACCTGCCACTGCAGCTCTAAAACAATAAAACTTTAAATAAACTGACAGGTGAAACTCATCAGCTGCACATGATTCCTCCACTGTTAGCGAGCGGCCCCTCTCTGCTCGGACCCTCGCTGCCTCCAGACGGGTCCACGTGCTCCAGCAGATGTCCGTACGGCCCGGTCCCGCTCTGCTGGAAGGTGGTTTTGCGCTCGTAAAACCTCCTCCACGCATCCCTCTGCAGCAGCTGGGACTCTGGGAACTCGGGGATTGGGGTCTTCCTCCGTTGGTCCAGGAAGCAGCTCTGCTGGGAGGTCATGACGGGCAGGATGGGGCCGGAGCGAGGCGGGGTCGCTCGCTGTCGGGCGATCTTTCGGGCGTAGTAGCGCCTGGAAGCTGCTCTCCAGGCTGCTCTCTTCAGTCTCTGAGCCTCCTCTGGCAGCTGGGACGTGGGGACGTTCTTCTTCCTCATGGTCCTGTGGGGGGGGCAGGTGAGACGGACATAGGGTCACACAGGTTTTACATTTAAACACAAAACTCATGAAAACACAAACTAAGTAAAAGGGATCCCCGATTAGTTGTAACATTAGACTTTATTTAATAAACATTTATTTTAACTGTAAAATAAAGACTGTAAAAATACTGTAGGATGTTTAGTTTTGTACATTTTTAAAAATGTATTTTAACACGGATGGAGCCATTTTATTTTCACACAAAGCATTCTGGGTAAATGATGACGTGGATAGGTCCTCGGTGCGAGGCTGCTAGCGAGCTATATCCACCCTGAAGGTTAATCTTGGACAATATCTGATGATTGACTCTTTTAAATGAAACCAGAGAGCGTTGACAGAGAGGAGAAGGTAGAAATGACTCAGCCTGGAACTGAAAATATGGATGGAGGACAACAGAGCTGCTTCATGGAAGAAGAACCTCAGATTAGCCTGTTAGCTTTAGCGTTAGCTCCGATGCTATCACCACATATATGTGTTAGCTCAGCACTACACGTTCTCCTCTTGTCACWGAGGTCCTCCATCCACATGACAGAGAGGGGAACACAAAAATGACTCAGCCTGGAACTGAAAATATGGATGGAGGACAGCAGTTTAGCTTGTTTGTCGCGAGCGCGACAAACAAGCTAACCTGTTGTCCTCCATCCATATTTTCAGTTCCAGGCTGAGTCATTTCTACCTTCTCCTCTCTGTCAACGCTCTCTGGTTTCATTTAAAAGAGTCGATCATCAGATATTGACTTATATGTATTAGCTCGGTGCTAGCGTGACAAACAAGCTAACCTGTTGTCCTCCATCCATATTTTCAGTTACAGCTGAGTCATTTTTGTGTTCCCCTCTCTGTCATGTGGATGGAGGACCTCTGTGACGAGAGGACAACGTGTAGCGCTGAGCTAACACATATATGTGGTGATAGCATCGGAGCTAACGCTAAAGCTAACAGGCTAAGCTGAGGTTCTTCTTCCATGAAGCAGCTCTGTTGTCCTCCATCCATATTTTCAGTTCCAGGCTGAGTCATTTCTACCTTCTCCTCTCTGTCAACGCTCTCTGGTTTCATTTAAAAGAGTCGATCATCAGATATTGTCCAAGATTAACCTTCAGGGTGGATATAGCTCGCTAGCAGCCTCGCACCGAGGACCTATCCACGTCATCATTTACCCAGAATGCTTTGTGTGTAAATAAAATGGCTCCGTCTGTGTTAAAATATATTTTAAAAAAATTTACAAAACTAAACATCCTACCGTATTTTTACAGTCTTTATTTTACAGTTAAAATAAATGTTTATTAAATAAAGTCTAATGTTACAACTAATCGTGGATCCTTTAAAAATGAATTACAGAATGTGTTTGTGATGAGAAACAAACTGACTTCAGCTGTCTTGCAGAGACTTGAAATCCACCTGGGTCTGACACAGGTTTCTCCATCAGCTGCTTTCCCTCGCTGTACTCTGGGTTTTCTGCAGGAAGACACACAAAATGAATATTTTAGAGAAGTTTCTACATTTTTATGTGTTTTATCATTTTTAATCAGCATTTACTTGATATAAAAAGCTTACGTTTTCCACTGGGGCTGGGTTTGTCCTGACTCTGGTTTCCTGACGACTCTGGAGGTTCTGCGGCCCGCTCCTCGCTCATCTCCCACTGGATCAGCACCGTGTCGATGTCGCACGGCTCCTCTTTGACCACCAGGCTGCTGGGGGACGGAGGCAGGTGTCTGGCTGCGTCTGTGACCACGGACGCCTCTGAGGAGCGGGACGTGCAGGTCGGGTCCAGGCCCAGGCGGCTGGGGGAGGAGGGGAGAACCGACTCGTGGCTTTGGGAGGAGACGTGAGATGGGGGTCGTGCAAAAACACCCACTGTGGAAAAAAAACAGCAATAAAATGATGACGTCAGGAGCTGTGACCTCACCTGTCGACCATTCATTAACATCAGATCAAGTGTCCAGACTTCTGTCACTGGTGAGAAGTGAAACCAGCAGGATCCGGTTGGGATCAGACTAAAGATGTGGAGCTTTAAATCCTGCCTGCTGCTCACAAGTTTTATTTTAACCATCAAATCATTTGATCACAACTAAAGAGATAAACTAGTATTAGAGACATAACGGCTTAAAACGTGCATCAATGTCACTGTTATTGTAAAACAGGAAGTTGTGTCTTTAAGACATCAGTTTGATAATTCAGAACTTTTGGTCACAAAATGACTTATGATATTTTTTTTATTTATTTTGAAGTTATTTTCTGTTACTGAGACAACACACAGTTACAGTTCCTTCAGCCTACTCTACCTTTTTTTTGGGCAAATTATTGATTTGTGTTTGTAAAATAGTGTTTCATTTTGTTTTCTTTTTCTTGTAAATAAAACAAAATAAATCTAAAATCTAAAAGAAAAGAAACAGATTTGGTTATAAAATGGCTACAATTAATTTGTTTAAAATAGAGGTTCTCAAACTGGGGTCCGCAAGCCATAACTTGGGGGGGTCCTCAAAAATTTGTAATAAACTGTTAATTTTGTTTTTCATTTAAAATAAAATCATAAATGCATAAGAGGAACAATGTACCAGTAAAATAAACTTACTCAACCAAATAAACATTAATTATTTTTATGGTATTTAGGCGTTAAAATGGCAGTAAATCCATTTTAAATTGGCACGAGGTTTATGAGGGGGTCCCTGGGATATTTTCACCTCTATGAGGGGTTCTCAGATCCAATAAGTTTGAGAAAAACCTGGTTTAGAAACCAAACAAACAAAAAACAAATAATGAATCATAATTTTGAACCATTACATCCCTGCTGTGTATTTTTATAGTTTAATAAGGTCAAAGTCTTGTTTGTTTACATGGAGAGCGGAACGTAAAACTTAAGACCGTCTTGTGGAGATGCTGGTCCCATTCCGGTTCCAACTTCCCAGGTCTGGTTTGAAATCCAATATTTCTAGATGCGGTCAATGATCAGGGGTCAGATTTATAAAACTGGCGTACGCACAATTTGAGCCCAGAAACTTGCGTACGCCACTTTT